ATGAACATTATTTATAGTCGCTGATTCATAATATGATTATTATTTATTATTATAGTCACTGATTAATTTAAAGATATCCGGATATCTGACGGATAATCAAAGTCTATCCGAGTATAATTAATTTACGGATAGTTTATTTATAAATCCGCATAGGATCGGAGGATTATATGGATAGCTAGGATTTTAAGGCTACAGATCGCTACTCTAATACAAACCTCCTATTCACTTTACCAATATCAAATTATCAAACCAACTTATTACTGAACCTGCCCAAATTAAACAACATATACAATCTCACTTTTCTAACTGGATAGTCTTCAGACCTATTAACCAATCTCTCTTTGACAACTTCTGGTATCAACAATACTTACCTCTCACACACATTAATCCTGACTGGTATATCTCACTTACCCAACCCATTACTCCCGAAGAAACTCTACAAACCATTTTCAAATTGACTAACAATAAAGCATATAGTCCTACCAATATTAGTTATGAAATGATCAAACACCTTAACCACTCCTGTATTCTTGTACTTACTGCATTCTTCAACCACTGTTTAACCCATAACTATATACTTAAACAATGGAAACAGAGAAGAATCTTCCCTATTCCCAAAAATAATGCTTTTGATGACAACCATAGCCTCACACGTCCAATTAGCCTTATTGAACATACTTGCAAAATTTATACCAAAATCATTTCAAATAGACTTAGTAAAGTCTTTATGCAACACTCTATACTTTCTCCTTATAACTATGTTGCCCTACCAGACAACAGTACATCAACCCCAATTTACATCCTTAACAACTTAATTGAAGATACAAACTGCAACTACCAAGATATATGGGTTCTTTCTCAGAATATGAGTAAGGCCTATAATTCTGTTAACTTTACACTATTCTAGCACTCACTATCTTGACTTGCTCTCCCTCCTACTATTATTAATATCCTCACTCATCTCCTAACAGACAGCCAAAATAAGGTCATTACTAATTTTGGTTTAACATCATCATACCAGGTTCTTAATAGTATAGACCAAGGTAAACTATCACACCCCTCCTCTGGCGTATCTACTATGACCCTCTTATATCCTATATACACTCATCTTTTCCTGGATACACATCCAAGGTCACCTGGTTTACCAATCTTAAACACCTCACCACTAACTATACCAATATTAACTGTTCTGTTCTTGCTTACATGAATGACACTCTTTAAATTGTTTCATTCCAAGAAGAATTATCCAACATCATATCTATTGCAAAATCTTTCTACTCAATGGCAAATATCCAAGTTAACCCATCTAAATCTATCCTCTTAACCAACTCCAAATCCTCTGACTCTATCTCGATTACTTTTAACAATCAAGCTTTACCTGTCTGTCCACCGGTATTGTCGGTTGAATGAGCTTGTCAGCAAAATATGTGTCAGTAAAATCAACGTGTCAGTAAAAACAAACTTGTCGGTAAATCATGTGTCGGCAAATTAGCTGTAGGTAAAAAAAGCGTGTCGGTAAATGGATTGTTGGTGTAGTGCTATGTCAGTAACGTGATTGTCGGTAATTTGATTGCGACCCGTGTTTTATTACATGTGGAAATTCATACCTAAGATGATTTAATCCATAAGATGCAAGCTTTTTTATATCATGTTCCGTTATCCAAAATGACCAATAATTATGAAGTTGCCTTTTGGCTTCTTCATAGCCCAAAAATTTAGTAAATGTATATTCATCAACGACCTGGTCTTTAGGACTAAATTGCTCAAAAAGACTTGGTCTAATCCCTAACAAGATGTTATAAAATATACAAATAAATTAATATGATTTTATAATTTTGCTTTAATTATTAATTGCTATAATGACAGGAAATTGCAGGCATTCAATTCAATGGATCAATTAACAATACTATAATACTCAGTTAAATATGCAAATCAAAATCAATAATTCAATATTTGATCAAATGTGAAAAGAAGATTTTTTGGGTAATTCAATTTTAATACTTAATTATCATTATCCGATGATATCATATCATTAATAAATTTCACGATAAACTGGTGACATTTTAAATTTACACCATTTGTATTATTTCCGATAAAGTTTTATATTAAGGTTAAATATGATTTTTTATTAATACCATATACTTACATCCTTCAAATACCAGCCTTATGCGGAGAGATAAAGTAAATAAGTATTTAATCAAGAAATTCTGGTTGTTATTTAAAATTTAATATTAATTACCATCCTCCAAGATTTACACCACGTATTTTTTTCTTTTTTATAAGCATGTTGATTGATGTTGCAATAAATCGAATTGAAATAAATTAATATAAAAAATATCGAAAACAAAAAATCTTCATTCTATAAATACAAAGGATATTAATCAAAATGATTCAAAAAAATTACTTACGAAAATGTTCTTACTTAAATTGACAATATTCTTAAAATATGCTTTAAATATTTTTAAGTACGAAAAGCATAGGTACGATTGGTCATGTGATTGGAAGAATGCCGGCACGCCAAAGTTGCCGGAAATAAATTCAATTAAAGGACTTTAAGTCCGCAGAATACATTGTGAGTAATTTGAACTGAGTACTTTGAGCTGAGTAATTTGAACTGAAACGATGATATGCTAACTGAAACGATGATATGCTCCCGGGAAAATTAGCAAGTGAGATTGCGCCCAGGTATCATCGTAACCGTAGAATGAGTGAGAAGCAGCATCAGCCGGTGGTTTCCCGCCTGCTCGAAGCAGGCCGACTGTTAAATAGGAAAATGGCAGAATCAGGAGAGTGTTCCCCAGTGTGTGGTGGGAAGGGTTGGGTCGAGAAAATGATGGATATAATGTTTGATTGTGTTGCAAGGGGAGAGAGAAGAACGCTGGGAAATGGTTTATTCGTCGTTTCTTTTATATTGATTGAGGACGGTGGCTTTCTGTTACGTAGTTATATTCGCATGAAATCGGTATGGTCTGATGTCTCTTTCCGTTACGCAGCTGTGTTACGCATGAAAAATCGATGTGGTCTGATGTCTCTTCTCCGTTGCGCAGCTGTGTTACGCCTGAAAAATCGATATGGTCAGATTTCTCTTTTTCGTTACGTAGTTGTGTTCGCCTGGGATCTCGGACCCGACTTGTGTTGTCAGGGTTGTAGCACGTGGCGTGTAACCCTGGCCACTCTCCCTGTCTTTTCGATCTGTTGACTTTTTGTCAACATGCATTAATTTAAATGCATGTTTTTATATAGGAATCGAGATATAGCATTATTGAAGTAATTAATTACGGTCAATTATAGTGAAGTTACAAATTTTTGGTAGTATTGACATAGGTAGCAACAACTCCAGTCGTAATAAAATACTATCCTGTGGTCATAATTCTTGTAGTATTTAGTATAAATAGAGTTGCTGGTGCAATTAAGTACTATTTATTCTCCTGTTTTATTAATTGACGGCCGGAGGCTATTTTCCTATTGAGTTTGAATTAAGTTGTGCCCAAAAATTATAGCGAAAACTTCGTAATGAACAATTGGGGAATAAAATTCTAATGGTGTACCACATATATACCACCTTGTTTGTGGTGCATATGATGGTGCACCATTATACTACATATATTATCTGATGCTAGTAGTTTCATATATTTATCTTTTGGTTTACCTCCGACAAAGCATAAAATTGCATCTATATCTTATTGTTATATTACCCTATACTTTCGGGCATTTTCGAACATTACTTCCATTTTATAGCTTTCTACTGTTTATAACGAGAACTTTCAGTTCAATTAACTAATATTATATTTCTTACAGTTGCAATAAGTTACCGTTAATATATTGAGCAAAAACTGAAACTATCCTTTAAAAGTTATTTGGAAAGTTTACACACATGCGTAGGTCATATTACACGTACACACTCCCTTATATAAAATAAATTTAAATATGATTGGCTCGTCACATCTGCGTTGTCGTACCACCTGGTGCACCAATTTTGTACAGCAATCCTAGTTATAGACCATAATTCTGGTTCTAACGATAATGATAATAATAATAATAATAATGAATTAAACTATGTGTATATTTGTGTACGTAAATGTATGTATATAAATTTATGCAAGTTATATAATTCACGCAAATTGTACAGGTTAATCAGATTATTAATCATTTATCAATGTATATAAATAGAAAAAAAAAAACAAATTATTTATCGCAATTGTCAACTACTATTATTAACTACAATCATGCCAAGAATATTCAATTAACCGACTTTGAAAAAGGACAAATTATTAGAATGTATAATGTTGGAGCTACTATAATTTCTATTGCTTCAGCAATAAACCATGACCGTACTACGGTATCCTATTTTTTTAACCCGGCTTAGACAACGAGGAAGTATTGATGTTTAGGAAGGCCATCAATTATAGTTTTTTCGTTCTGAGAGTACTGTACATAAACATTCCGTAGTTTATTCTATTTGTTGTCATAATAAATCCATTATTTTTTTCAAAATGATGAACTATATAAGCGAAAGTTCAGATAATAATTTCGTTTCCAGCTCATTAAATAAAAACAAAAATTGTGGTCCCAACTTTGATGAAATTTAGATTTTTACTATAAAGCTAGTAAGGGTAACGAACATTGTAAAATGCATTAAATGATTCTGGTAATACGGATTATTCATTAGAGAAATTAGTGGTCGATTCAAAGTTAGTTAAATTAGATGGTTAAATTAGATGATTAAATAGAAACAAATTATTAACATCGTAATAAATGTAATAAATAAAAATAGCGTTAGCTTGAATTTTATAATATACGTGCAACAAATATACGAGGTAATGATGCCTTATTATTTTATTGCATGCGACATATTACAAATTTTATGGCATACGGCAAACAATACGGTTTATTTCATTTCAAGGTGTGACGTAACACGATCAGGATTCAAGACAGGCGTCCGTTTATGTCAAAAATTACCTATTTCAATTCATTGAGCGATTTTACTATATACCTCGGTTCATTGGCAGACATTCGTATGATTGGCAGTTTAAATCAAATTAATTTTACATTTTTACATTATTATACAGTTTAAAGTACTTTTTTAAAAAAATAAAACTACTACGAATAAACAAAAAAGAAGTATATAGAGAGTTTTATTAGGGTTGTAGGACTCCAATATTAAAAAAAATCAAAATTCTTTTTTGTTTTAGAGAAGTTAGCATGGTGATAACCTAATTCTATCTATCGTTAAGAAGTCGCTATTATGCTAACTTCTCTAATACAAAAAAGAATTTTTATTATTTTTAATAGTGTAGTCCTACAAACCCTAATAAAACTCTCTATATACTTCTTTTTTGTTTATTCTTCGTAGTTTTATTTTTTTTAAAAAGTACTTTAAACTTTTAAATAATGTAAAATTGATTTGATTTAAAATACCAATCATACGAATGTCTGCCTATGAATACCTCGGTAAATTTTAATACTAAATGTAAACGCTAACTCTGACGTTAATGCTTTAAAGAATTTTGTTAATTGCAAACCTGCGCCATAGAATCCATATGTTTTAATATTACGTAAGAAACATCTATATTTGATTTAATTTTAAGCAATTTTAAATAATTTTTTTTAATGTGGATTATGTGGATTATCATGAAACGACTTAATTTAAAATTTACAAGCCTCCATTACCGCAGAATAGATTCATTAATTAATGCTAATAATAATATGGAAGATGAAGTAGACATGAGAGAATTTGCCCATAATTATGACTGGTCATCAATACTTCTCGTCCTATGGACACTTGGGAACCTTCGCTTAAGACTGCTTTGATAATTTTATAATAGTTCTTGAATTTAAGGTACGATAATTCGTGTATATAATTACGTATGAATTTTTTAGGATTGCTGCCTACGTTCAATTTTTCTTTTCTCTATCTTCTGCGGTCCCAACCTTATTTTCATATATAATAAAGGTAATTTTAAATTCTTTTTTTTTTCACAGTCAAAACTCGCTATAGTTACTCTTGATATAATTACAACTTTGATATAATCACACTATTTTTTAATTCAGGCTATTATAAAACATGCAAAATTTGACTTTTATATAGTCACAACTTTATAATCCCAGATTCTTGATTCCCAAGCTGCTGATTATTTCAAGGTCTGATTGTGTATATAAGGAAATTTATTGTTAGAAATAAGCAAATGAATATCTACCATACAATTTCATATTAATGTAATTAGAAAAAAAATATTTATAAGCTATCAATTTCATAAAAATTTATTATTTACGTATTAATTAACAGTAGGTATAAAAAATTAAAATTTAAATAAATGATTCACCTTCATATGTCCTTATTTATTTATTTATTCATTTATTTATTCTGTCAATTAGTCAGTGAGCATAAATAATATTTGCATTTAAATCAAAGTTCGGATAAATAAAATGAAATAACTAATATAAAAATCCAATTCAACTGATGATTATAGAAGATTCTAATTTTGAAGGTGTGCGCATTGTAATAGATACTTTATTTCATTGCATAAACCACCAGATGATAGTAGACATTTGGGGTTTCAAAGTTAACAAATAAGTGACGCATTTCGAAAATAAATAGGATTTTTTCAATAGTATTTTTACTATGCAGAATTATAAATCGGAAAATTAAAATAAGATTCTCTGATTTTAACTTTGAAACCCCATTGGTTTGATTTGAGATATAAAGTAAGAGATCAGGGTCTGTAATATAACTTATATTATACAAAATATATGATATTTTTAAGCTTTAAATGTATTTTCGCTTACAATGCCCTCTTAGCAATGGATCCTCCTTCTTTACAAGACCCTTGAAGTCTAAATCTGTTTTTAATGGATTTAAAGTAAGAAACCATGAGTGGTTTATGCAGTGAAGTATGGCATGCTTGAATAAAATATGGCATCAGGCATGTGACTCAAATATGACATTTCAATAACAGATAAATAGAAATTGAGAGGATCTCAACTACCGTATAACACTGCATAAAGTACCCGGGATCTTATTCAAGGACTCCATTTTTTGAATTGAATAGTACCCCGGAAACTTTGTGAGAAACAGGTATAGTAATAATTACTTATAGCTATACTACTGTTCAAGAGTTAAGCCAAATGATCAGTAAATAATATCCGGGTTTTAATCACGGAGTATTATTATTAGTCGTACTCAACTTTTTAAATTTTTTTTGCAAAGATAAATTTACTTTTCAAATTCAAAACATTGAAATTTTTACAAAATCCTGTGCAGAAGGTGCTTGGCTAGTATAATATAT